ATATCTTTATTTTCACTTTAGTTATGAACATAAGCTACAGCAGTAACAGAAGATTTATTAGACAAATGGATTTGTTACCAGTAGAAATCATGGATATTTTCATATCATATTATACTTGTTATATTTTGATAACTATATATCAATATAATTCAATATAACTGGTTTTCTTTATAGTTCTATGTATTTTATTTTTGCATATGAAAACATATTCCAAAAAGGAACTCTAAACGCTTTCACCACACTGCCAAAGGAGTCCATAACACAAAAAAGATTAAGATTCGTGTTCTGCAGTCAAAAAATAAAGAAACATAATCACATTTACTGTAATTCTCTGTATATAAAAAAACTACCTGTTTTTTTATTAAGGGTTATATGCTCATTGTCTATAGAGCAGGAACCATATGTCATTATTTTTGGCAGCCTTCACCTTAAAACTGGTTTGCAAGTAGTTGTGAATGTGATATAACAGCCTAGCAGATTCATGGACTCCCCTGGCTCATTGGCAGTCATCCTAGTCCAAACATAGAAAGTCACAAACTAACATAACTTTCAACTTGTGGTACAAGAGAATTCCCAAAAGAAGGCAAGGGGCAAGGCACGGTGGCTCACACCTGTAATGCCGACACTTTGGGAAGCCAAGGTGGGTGGATTACTTAGGTCTGGAGTTTGAGACTGGCCTGGCCAACATGGTGAAACTCCGTCTCTACTAAAATACAAAAATTAGCCAGGCGTGGTGGCGGGCGCCTGTAATCCCAGCTGAGGTGGGAGATCGCTTGAACCCAGGAGGCAGAGTTTGCAGTGAGCTAAGATGGCACCACTGCATTCTAGCCTGGGCAACAAGGCAAGATTTGGTCTCAAAAAAATAAATAAATAAATAAATAAATAAATAAATAAATGGAAAGAAAGGGGGAAAAGACACACACAGAAAGCCTGCTATTAATATATATCTATTAACCTGGTTTACGAATGGTAAAAACATAGGTAATTCAATTATTTACATTAATGAATAAGGTAGGTAAACAAACCTAAAAGAATGCCAAATATGAGACTCATTTCTTTTTATCTTCTGAGGTGGCGCTTCGGCACATGCTGCAAATGTAAAAAGGTACATTCCCGGAATTTACTGGCTAAATTGTAGAAAGGAATTAGGATTTACATTCTGCCACAAATAATCCATAAAGCAATTAACAAAACAAATCACATATGAAACACATGTCCAAGTACTCATTTGACAGGAATACTGTGAAAAGAGACGTTTAGGACGAAAAGCAGAAAGGTTTATGCCTAGGAAAGAGTTTCAAGGACGGAGGGAAAAGGAGATGCCAGAAGTGGCCAAGCAGATAAGCAGGAGGGTTGACAAGGCCTAGAGTCCTGACCCCTCCCTCTCCCAAGCCACCCCTTTTTCTCATGTGCTTGATGTGTGACAATGTCAAAGACATACAAGCAGCCAGCCACAATCTTGAGCAAAAAAGGGACTCTCACGGTCCCGTGATAACTGGCAAGTACTCTGACTTCAGGGTTTCTCTAACTGGAAAAAAAAAATCCAAGAAAAAAATGACTTTTAGAAAAATGTATTCTTTCCAGAAGAAGGAGACCTACTTCTGCTTGATTTAGACAGGAAGATTTCTATTGGCAGAAAAGTCAGAAGGTCTGCTTCAGATCAGAGTTACGTAAATACTTAGAAAAGCGTGATGCTTGAGTAAGAACTCTACTGTTATTAACAGATATTTTGCTATTATCCATCATTAATAACAATGGAAAATTATGCTTGCCTTTTATTTGAGCATTTCAAAAACTAATTCTATCAGTACTTTCAACATCTCCAGGAGAGGTTATTCAGATCCCTAGGGAAATCCTGTCTAACCTAAAGGCTAGGCAGCTCTGAATTATAAATGGAGTCAGATGGTTTACAAACTCTATGAAATTATATATAAAATTTGGTAAGTTCACATATATTTCAGATTATTAAAGGGCTGTTTAATCGTAAGAACAGTTACCTCTGGCCATGGTTAGAAAATCTAAAACAAGAGAAAGCAATAATGCTTTCCATACATAGTCACAGGGCAAGTCAATGTTAATCTCAGAGAAAGTAACCAGGGACTGCTAAATCCAGGGCTCTATCTAACTAGATCATTCTTCCTGAGGGATCACATATTCAAAAAGCAGGTCCCCAAGGAAAATAAAACGCCACTGCTTATGGGGGAAGAATCACAGACTGAGGGGGAATGAAGCTCATTCTTTATCAACAAGGCCATCATGCTAGTTTTCAAAGGGAATTTGCAAAGCAAATCTTTTGTCCTACAAAAAGATTCATTTCATTCAGCAAAGAAAAGAGACCCCAGAGGGAGTACTGTAGAATCCCAAGCCTCTTCTATAGCCTGTTACCTTGAAGCATATATGCTGTTCTAGAAGAAATCCTTGGGTAGTTCCTTTTAGTTAAGTAGAATGTAAGTCAAGTAAACATCTAATGTGCTAGAAAAAGGTGTAACTAGCCAACTTTTTTAGCCAAGAAAAGGCTATCCCCCACCATTCTCAACTCATTGCCATTCAAGAACCTATCTGAACCCTATTCCCCTATTACAGAGTGTAGAGGCAGGAGTGGTTATCAGATTAATACAGTGTCCGATAAATTGAATGACCTCATACTTCTCCTATTATAAAAAGCACTTGGTGGCACCGTCAGTAGCACCTTCTAAAAGGAGCTGTAAGGCCGGGCACGGTGGTCATGCCTGTAATTCCAGCACTTTGGGAGGCTGAGGCCGGTAGATCACCTAAGGTTGGAAGTTTGAGACCAGCCTGGCCAACATGGTGAAATCCTGTCTCTACTAAAAATACAAAAATTAGCCAGGTGTGGTGGCAGACGCCTGTAGTCCCAGCTATTCAGGAGGCTGAGGCAGGAGAACCGCTTTGAACCAGGAGGCGGAGGTTGCAGCGAGCTCGGATCGTGCCAGCGCACTCCAGCCTGGGCAACAGAGTAAGCCTCTGTCTCAAAAATAAATAAATAAATAAATAAATAAATAAAACAAAAAGGGCTGTAAGAGAGAAGTAGTAACATTCACTTTAATTTCATCTACATCACTAACAGCCCTAAAGAAAGGGAATGTGTAGGAAATAAAGTCAGCAGCTAAAACTTCATTTACATTACCCATAGTGTGGCATCATTCCTAGCATGTCAGGCGTGGCCTCCAGCATACAAACCATTGAATTAGACAACTAAGTACACTGAAGTCTCTCCTATGTGGCATTCCAATCACCATCATTGACATCGCGGGTATCATCATTTTGTCCACCTTTCTTTCTCATCATGTCATCATTTGTTTACTGCTATTACTGCACCAAATCCCATTCTCAATATCTTCTTACTAGCAAGTTTCTGTACTTGCCAAATCACTAAATATCAAGATAAATAGGCTCTGGAGTTCATATCTTCCTTCCTACTTCCATTTTATTGTTGGCAGAATATTTTCTGTCCTTATCTTGAGTTTCCTTCCCAACCCTTGTTCCTACGCTCAAAGCTTCCAGTTCCCCATTAGCAGTTCCTCATACTACAAACCCCTAAATCCTCACTGCCTCTATAAATATCACTGTCCCATTTGGTTTTTTTTTTTTTTTTTTGAGACAGAGTCCCCCTCTTCACCCAGGCTGGAGTGCAGTGGTGTAATCTCAGCTCGCTGCAACCACCGCCTCCTAGGTTCAAGCAATCCTCCCACCTCAGCCTCCCGAGTAGCTGGGACTCCAGGCATGAGCCACCACACTCACCCAGTGTCCCTATTTCAATATAATTTCTGGTTCTCCCAACTGAGATCCCGAGTTTCAGCTCTCAGAGCTAGTCACCTCAATTACATTCAGGAAGCCTCCTCCAGTTAGGCCAATGTAATACAGCCTGTTCCCAATTGCATCTTTGTACTTCCAGACAGTTCCCTATTCATAGAATCATTACATTTTAGAACCAAAAGAACACTCAGAAACAATCTGGTCCAATGTTTTACAAACTTTTAAAGTACATTTTGCTTCTTACCCTTTGAGATGTACAAAATCTATTTTACATCATAATCTCATACACACATAACTCAAACAAATCACATGAAACAATACTTACCCTTGCTATGTAAACACACTGCAAGTTTCTATTCTATTCAACTTTTTAAAAGAAAAGTACAGGTTCAGGCCAGGCACAGTGGCTCACGCCTGTAATCCCAGCACTTTGGGAGGCCGAGGCAGGTGGATCACCTGAGGTCAGGAGTTCAAGACCAGTCTGGCCAACATGGAGACACCCCGTCTCTACTAAAAATACAAAAATTAGCCGGGCGTGGTAGTGGACGCCTGTAATCCCACCTACTAGGGAGGCTGAGGCAGGAGAATCGCTTGAACCAGGGAGGCGGAGGTTGCGATGAGCCTGAGATTGCGCCACTGCACTCCAGCCTGGACAACAAGAGCGAAACTGTCTCAAAAAAGAAAAAAGAAAAAGAGTTCCACGCACTACATTGGTTTCCCAGCTCAGTACTGGGAAGAAACCCGTAGTGTGGGAGACATTGAACTAGTCCAAACTTCCCACTCACTGATGAAGAAACTGTAACTCAGTGGTGAGGTCTGTCCATGAAAATCCACCTCGGGCCTGTCTGTTAATTCCAGACCAGTGTTCTTCCCACCAACCGCCTTCTCTGCCCAGCCACAGCCCATCGCAGCCCGTGCCCACACACAACCCCACGGTGGCATCGCCCACCACTGACCCACCCTCTTCTCCAAGTCACTGCCCTGAGGCGCAGTCCCCTCGCGGCCGCGGCTCGCGTGGCGGTCAGGGTCCCCCACGGCCACCACCCATCGATCCTGGCCCCTCGGTCAGCGTCCCCTGCAGTCACCGCCTCACACTTCCTCGGTCCAAGCGCCGTCGCGGCCGCGCGTTTCGCATTCCCTCCCCCGGGTCACAGTCCCCCGCTGTCACCGGCCGGCGGTCACAGTGGCCTCGCAGCCCCGGTCCCACTCGCCTGGCTGTCACTCACCGCTCTTCCTCGGTCACGGTGGCCCCGCGGTCCCAGCCCCACAGAGTGTCCTCTCGGAGACGCACGGAGAGGCGCACACCCGCGGCTCACGCTCCCCGAGCCCGCTCCGCTCGGATTCCTACCCGGCGCCGCGTCACGGACTAGGGAAGTCGAGGAGGTTGCGGGGAGACGCCCGGGAAAGGCAGCCGATGGAAGAGCCGGCCGGAAGTCCCGCCTACTTCCCCCACCCGTCAATCCGACCACGACTTCTTGAAAACCGCGACTCCTGACACCGTAGTTCCGCCTCCTCAGAGGCCCCGGGGACGAAGTGACCGAGCAGAAATCCCAGAGACCGGAGACGGAATGGCCCGGGTCAGTCTCCGCCCGGAACCGGAGGATGCAGCGAACACGCCTCCTTGAAGAGGGATACGATGTGAACGGGCACAAGAGCTCGCCGGTCCGTCAAGACGCGCTGCCCGGCGGCTCCCCTGTGGCCCGGCGGCTCCCCCGTGGCCCAGCTCGGGCCGTGTCCGCGCAGGCGGGCCTGTGCGCGGAGGTCCTCCCGCCGCACCCCGCACCCCGCACCCGGCCGCCACCGCGCAGCCCTCCGCGGAGACGCCCCGACCGCGGCCGCCTCGCCGCAGCGTCAGCTTTTCCCTGCGTGGGGATGGAAGGGGAATTTCCGACCGCCAGCCCCGTCCGCTGAAAACCGGTGGCTGACCCACCCCCTTCCTTTTTCTGACCCAGGTTGGCTCAAATAATAATAACAAATCTCCAGGGATCCGCTGGGCGCTAGTTGGGCAGAAGTGGATCAAGACACCTGCCGGGGGGTGTATGGGGGGAAGAAACGTTCTCCTTTGCTAGAATGAACCTTGGGAAGGATCCCTTTTGATCAGTAGATGTAAGTGGCTACACAATGTTATGGAAGAAGGCTGTAAAAAAATTTTTATTTTTTTAAATTACCAACTGAACTGAAGTAAAAGACATTTTTAACTTATTTACTTGTTCTTTTACTTTTGTTTTTTTTAAGACGGAGTCTCGCTCTGTCGCCCAGGCTGGTGTGCAGTGGCGCGATCTCGGCTCACTGCAGCCTCCGCCTCCCGGGTTGAAGGGATTCTCGTGCCTTGTCCCGAGCAGCTGGGATTACAGGTACCCGCCCCCACGCCCGGCTAATTTTTGTATTTTTAGTAGAGACGGGGTTTCACCATGTTGGTCAGGCTGGTCTCAAACTCCTGACCTCAAGTGATCTGCCCACCTCGGCCTCTCAAAGTGTTGGGATCACAGCCCACCGCGCCCAGCTAACTTTTTTGTTGTTGTTGTTGCTTTGCTTTTTTGGATTTTTTTTTTTTTTTAATTTGTCTACATCAACAATATCCAATCTTTTGGCTTCCCTGGGGCACACTGGTAGGAGAGGAATTGTCTTGGGCCACGCATAAAGTAACACTAACAATAGCTGATGAGCTTTATTTAAAAAAATCGCAAAACAAACCTCATGATGTTTTTTAAAAGTTTACAAATGTGTGTTGGGCCGCATTGCAAAGCTGTCCTGGGCCGCGGCTTGGATAAGCTTGGTCAAGATGCTTAACTTCAAAGTGGCTGAGAAGAAAGAGGATGGGTATAACTGTGCATCTGCTGAGGAGCCTCCAGGGGGAAAAAGGATTTAAATCTGAATTTCAAGTATGTCTTTGAACATGGTGGATAGACTAAGGTACCCCAAATAAGGACAGTTAGCTGGAGGAGACACCGGGGCCTCTATGGGGAACATCACTACAAAAATAAGAGTTTAGATAGTAACCAACATCAGAATCTCAGAGAGTCTTAAGGGAGGATGAATTTCATACAGAGGATTGATTTCATATGACCCTGACACTGTGGACAAAGAAAATGGATGGGTGTTTATGCTAATAAGCTATGTAAGACATAGGATGGCAAGAGCTGAGCAAAAACACTGTGTGAGAAAGATGAAGGCAACAATTCAAAATGTAGGAAAAAGCAGCCAGGCATGGTGGTTCATGCCTGTACTCCCAGCATATTGGGAGGCCAAAGCAGGAGGATCACTTGAGGCCAGGAGTTCAAGACTAGCCTGGGCAACATAGCAAGGCCTCATCTCTATAAAAAATAAAATTACTGCTGGGAGGCTGAGGTGGGCGGATCATGAGGTCAGGAGTTCGAGACCAGCCTGGCCAACACCTGCCTCTACTAAAAATGCAAAATTAGCTGGGTGTGGGGGCACACGCCTATAATCCCAGCTACTCAGGAGGCTGAGGCAGGAGAATCACTTGAACCTGGGAGGCTGAGGTTGCAGGAAGCCGAGATGGCGCCACTGCACTCCAGCCTGGGTGACAGTGAGACTCCATCTCAAAAAATAAATAAAATTACTGGCCAGGTGTGGTGGCTCACACCTGTAATCCCAGCACTTGGGGAGGCCAAGGCAGGCGGATTACTTGAGGCCATGAGTTTGAGATCAGGCTGGCCAACATGGCAAAACCCCATCTCTACAAAAAAAAAAATACAAAAATTAGGTGAGCGTGGTGGTGCCTGCCTGTAATCCCAGCTACTCGGGAGGCAGGAGAATCTCTTGAACCCAGGAAGCAGAGGTTACAGTGAGCCAAGATCGTACCACTGCACTCCAGCCTGGGCAACAGAGCAAGACTCCATCTCGATAAATTTTAAAAAATAAACATGTTTTAAAACAGCCATGTGTGTTGGCATGCCTGTAGTCCCAGCTACTCGGGAGGCAGAAGAATCTCTTGAACCCAGGAGGCAGAGGTTATAGTGAGCCGAGATCGTACCACTGCACTCCAGCCTGGGCAACAGAGCAAGACTCCGTCTCGATAAATAAATAAAAATAAACATGTTTTAAAACAGCCATGTGTGTTGGCGTGCCTATAGTCCCAGCCACTCGGGAGGCTGACATGGGAGGATCACTTGAGCCTGAGAGTTCAAGGCTGCAGCAAGTTACAGTTCCACCACTGTGCCCCAGCCTGGGCAACAGAACAAGGCCCATTCTCTGAAAATGTAAATAAATAAAGTCAAAAGTTATTTTAAAGAATGTAGGGAAAAGCTTTATGCACAAATAAAGCCATGTCTTTATTTTTTATAATAGTGAAAAATCAGAAATAAGCAGACCCTCAATAAGGAACTGGCAAAAGTAACAATGGCATAACCCATTGAAATAAATGCCGCTACTAAGTCATGCATCTTAAAATCATAATGCAAATAAAATGACATAAAAACTGTTCATAGCCGGGCGCGGTGGCTCACGCTTGTAATCCCAGCACTTTGGGAGGCCGAGGCGGGCGGATCACAAGGTCAGGAGATCGAGACCACAGTGAAACCCCATCTCTACTAAAAATACAAAAAAAAATTAGCTCGGCGCGGTGGCGGGCGCCTGTAGTCCCAGCTACTCGGGAGGCTGAGGCGGGAGAATGGCGAGAACCCAGGAGGCGGAGCTTGCAGTGAGCCGAGATCGCGCCACTGCACTCCAGCCTGGGCAACAGAGCGAGACTCCGTCTCAAAAAAAAAAAAAAAAACTGTTCATAACATCATGAGAAATGAAAAATGAGGTTACAAAATTGTATGTTTTTTTAAAACCTTGGAAATAAAAAACATTGGTAGAAAATATACCACACTTTTTACCATTGGTTATGTTTGAACAATTGAAGTGGATTTTCCTCTACTTTTTTCTCTGTGTTCCAAGTGTTTAACAAGAACACAGTAGGGCCAGGTGCAGTGGCTCACGCCTGTAATCCCAGCACTTTGGGAAGCTGAAGCGGATGGATCATGAGGCCAGGAGTTTGAGACCAGCCTGGCCAATATAGTGAAACACCGTCTCTAGTAAAAATACAAAAATTAGCTGAGCGTGGTGGCACTTGCCTGTAGTCCTAGCTACTTGGGAGGCTGGGGCAGAAGAATCGCTTGAACGCAAGAGGTGGAGGTTGCAGTGGGCCGAGATCGTGCCACCACACTCCAGCCTGGGCGACAGAGCGAGACTGTGAAAAGAAAATAAAAAGAAAAGGAAAGGTAAAGGGAAAGACATAGGATAACAAAATCAAAACATTAAAAATATAAGGCCTAAAACACAACACATTCAGTTGTCAAACTACATCTTTATTTTGTCAAGATATTTAACAATATTAAAAAGTTCAGATTTCTTCATGGTCATGTCTTTTCCCAGCTTTTCAAAGATTCATTCAGTAGTAGAAACAGCCAAATGCTGCTACAACGCAGAACAAACTGTCCTAAAAAACAAATACAACACACACACACACACATCCAGAATGTTAGTACTAAAGAGGGAATGAGAGCAGCACAGGCAATCGAAACTAACACCATCTCAGATCTTTCCAATTTTTTTTTTCTTTTTTGAGACAGTGTGTCACTCTATCACCCAGGCTGTAGTGCAGTGGTGTGATCTTGGCTCACTGCAGCCTTGGCCTCCTGGGCTCAAGCAATCCTAACTCAGCCTTCAGAGTAGCTAGGACCACGGGGGCATGCCACCACATCGGGCTAATTTTGTGTAGTTTTTGTAAAGATGAGGTCTCGCTATGTTGCCCAGGCTGGTTTTGAACTCCTGGGATCAAGCAACCCACCCAACGTTGGTCTCCCAAAGTGCTGGAATCACAGGCATGAACCACCTCGCCCAGCCACCAATTTTCTTTTTTTTTTTTTTTTTTTTTTTTTTTGAGAGGGAGTCTGAGTCTGGCTCTGTGGCCCAGGCTGGGGTGCAGTGGCCGGATCTCAGCTCACTGCAAGCTCCGCCTCCCGGGTTTATGCCATTCTCCTGCCTCAGCCTCCCGAGTAGCTGGGACTACAGGCGCCTGCCACCTCGCCCGGCTAGTTTTTTTGTATTTTTTAGTAGAGACGGGGTTTCACCATGTTAGCCAGGCTGGTCTCGATCTCCTGACCTCGTGATCCGCCCGTCTCGACCTCCCAAAGTGCTGGGATTACAGGCTTGAGCCACCGCGCCCGGCCCAGCCACCAATTTTCAATCAGGAAGACTTTTTCCTTCTTCAAGAAATGAAGGGTTTCCAGAGTACAGCTACACTATTGCTTGCCTGAGAGTAACTACAAAATTGCTTGCTAAAGGGTTAGGATGGGTAAAGAATTAGATTTTCTGAATGTAGAAATAAAATGTGAACTAATGAACTTTAAGTAATACATATTCATAAAATAATTATTCACATATTTCCTGATTTATCGCAGACATAATGTATGAAATGCTTTGAGTTTCTTGGAGT